AGTAGCAAACCGACCCTGTTCTAGTTTTCCTTCTCTTTCTTCAGATGTTTCCCTTGTCCTTGCTGCTGCTGTAGTATTCCTATTATTTTCTTGTCTTCTTTCTCTTCTTCGGGCATTTCCCTTGCCCTCGCTGCTGCTGTAGCACTCCTATTATTTTTTTACCTTATGCTTCTTTCTTCGGACGTTTCCTTTGACCTTGCTGCTGCTGGCAGCCCTCCTATTATTTTCTTGCCTTATGTTTCTTTCTTCAGGCCTTTCCCTTACCCTTGCTGCTGTTCTAAAAAACCTATCCCTCTCTCGTCTCGATTCTCTTTTTTCGGATGTTTCATTTGCCCGGGATGATTCTCCACGTTCTCTATCACTTGCTCGTCTTGCACGCAAACATTTCTTTTTTCTTGGTGGCTGAAGCATATTTTCAAGAATCTTCTAGAAAAAAATCTGAAAACTTAAATAATAATTAGTGCAATTTTATCACTTTTCTCTCGACAAACGTTCAGTATCCAAAAGAAACATTAAATTTAAAAATTGCACAGAATTTTACTCCGCAGAAAAACTTTATAAAAAAATCAATAAAAATGTATTATATATATATATATATATAATAAATTACAATTAAATAAGTAATCACGGTTCAGCATATTATTTCTAATAATAATAATAATCTGCGTTAAAATTTTCTGAGTATAATTTTTAATTTGAATCTTTCAATGACTGATCTAAAAAGAACAAGTTTCCGTTTATATTTCCCTGCTGAACTGGCACAAGTGCCCGAGCGGTCGAGTTGCGGAACAGTGGTACTTTGACACGGTGAACGAGCTGGCTGCAGGAGATTCTCGGGATTTTCGTAATATGTAGAGACATTAGGCATTTTTTTGGAAGCAGGAGAATTGAAAAATGCCTTCGCCGGGAATCGAACGACGGACCTCTGGAAAACCGGCCCAATGTGCAGAACCACTACACCACGAAGGCACGCTAGAAAAGCGGGAGAAATACCTTATAAACTTTTCATTAAGTGTTTAAATTGTAAAATTATCAGAAAATTTTATAGAAAGGATTTATTTATTTATGACATTTAATACTTAATTATGTAATTTTAAAAGTTCTGTTAAGTGCTATAAATTTGCATTAATTTTCTACTCATTTTCAGTGGTTAAGTGCTCAGGTTTCCTTCTCACCTTTTAAGCAAAAATGTATTAGTTAACTCAAAATTGTGAATTATAAAAATTAATATATTCCTGTTTCCTTCTTGCGCTCACAAATCATTATGCGAATATGCATTTACAAATTTTAAAGCCTGAAAAACGCACGTCTGCGATATTATGATCATGCGATGATAAGAGCTTCATTTTTTTTCCATAATATTTTCGGCGACGATGCTTTTAAACTGGGAAGTTATTGAACAACTGTATTTTCGATGATGATATTTCGTACCACGATGTTTTCTCCTTGCTTTCTTTTCTCCCAAAATGCAATGTACCTTTACGGTTTCGCCTTGCGTTTTATTCTCCCCCACTTTCCTATGCGATGTTTTCGGCGGACACTGGCTCAATGATGTTAACTACAGCGTCAAGATCAATTCCTCGACAGAGAACAACGCAAAACTGAAAAGTTAAAAATAAGAAAGATAGTAGGAACTAAATGTAGCGTGCACACGCAGCCAGAAATGAGCTTTGTCGATAAATCGGGAACCCTCAGTTTAAATACTACATAATTCCTTTAAATTCTAGAGAGAAAGACGGAAAACCAACATTTTAGTAAAAGACCCAACTCATAAAAAACTGCTTAATATTTAAATAATAATAACCATACAACTTTAAGTACGTGTTCATGCGCCAGTTCCTCATCATTCATGTCAAGTTTTCGGTACATATATGTACGTGTGCCTGTTTAGTTTAGTTTAGTTTACGAGTATGCTGCAACCCTCCTGGCCGATAATAATCGGACTTATGATTAACGCAGTACACGCGACTCAGACAAACAATAATACAGTTAAAAGATAAAAACAAATTTTAAAATACAGATTAAACATATTAACACAGATTGTGCATCTATAAAAATACACTCACACAATACAAAATAAGCAAAATCATAAGCATAATCGGTTAGAAACATAAAAACTCGTAAACGAAAGAAAAACTAAAATATTTAACGTCCTATTCCTATGAAAGTCTTGTTTTCATTCACAAGCCTCATAATTTCTGTTGCATAGCTATTCAATAATTTCCTTTTTTTTTTCAATTATATTCTGTTCATTTATTTTTCCAAATCTCGTCCTCACAGTCTCGTCAGTTTACATTCTTCTATAAAATGATCTGCATTTCCGTACTTCCCACAAGCCAAGCATTGATCATTGCCCTGGAGATTAAATCGTTTTAAATAGGCCGGGAATTTACCATGATTCGTGATAATTTGAATAGTATCTATATTATTAAATAGATCCATTTTTCTTTTTATGGTCAAAATCCTCAAGTAACCCTTATTTTTATTTGAACCATTCCATTCCCGAGCCCATTTCTCAATTATACTTGCTTTCATTTTTCTCAAGGTAATTCTTCTGGAATCATTAATATCGACATAAATATCACCCTCTCCCAGGGCTGCCTCTTTAGCTAGCATATCCGCCCTCTCATTCCCAGTAACATCAATATGTGCCTTGACCCAATGAAAATATGTACCATTTTTCTCTCTTTTGTTATAAATGTTTTTTATATCCAAAAGAAGTCTATTGCTTGGTTCCGAATTCGCCAAGCCTTGTAGAACCGAGAGAGCATCAGAATAAATATGTATTGTAAAGTACTGTTTTAAGTTTTTATAACTCCACCGCAATGGCTCTCTAATTGCAACCGCTTCAGCTTGATACACCGATTTATTTCCTTCTGATCGTATTTTTCCATTATAGATTTCGACTCCGTAATAAAAAATAACGAATGCATAACCAGTTCCACCTTCGTATCCGGAGCCATCAGTGTATATATCAATCATGCCAATATTCATATAAACGTTATCGTACGGTTTAGTTTAGTTTACGAGTACAACTTTAAGTATGCTGCAACCCTCCTGGCCGACAGTAATCGGCCTCATGGGTAACACAGCACTCCCGACGCAGAAAAATAACAACAAAATAATAATAATAATAAAAATAAATAAATAAAAGATTAAAATATTTAAAGTCCTTTTCCTATGATAGTCTTATTTTCACTCACAATCCTCATAATTTCTGTTGCGTAGCTATTCAAGAATTTTCTTTTTTCAATTACGTTTTGTTCATTTATTTTTCCAAATCTCGTCCTCACACTCTCGGTCAGTTTACATTCTTCCATAAAATGAGCTGCATTTCCGTACTTCCCACAAGCCAAGCATTGATCATTGCCCTGGAGATTAAATCGTTTTAAATAGGCCGGGAATCTACCATGATTCGTGATAATTTGAATAGTATCTATATTATTAAATAGATCCATTTTTCTTTTTATGGTCAAAATCCTCAAGTAACCCTTATTTTTATTTGAACCATTCCATTCCCGAGCCCATTTCTCAATTATACTTGCTTTCATTTTTCTCAAGGTAATTCTTCTGGAATCATTAATAGCCAAAATATATATCACCCTCTCCCAGGGCAGCCTCTTTAGCTAGCATATCCGCCCTTTCATTCCCGATAACACCAATATGTGCCTTAACCCAATGAAAATATATAGCATTTTCCTCTCTTATTTTGTTATAAATGTTTTTTTATATCCAAAAGAAGTCTATTGCTTGGTTCCGGATTTGCCAAGCCTTGTAAGGCCGAGAGAGCATCAGAATAAATATGTATTGTAAAATATTGTTTTAAGTTTTTATAACGCCACCGCAGTGCCTCTCTAATTGCAACCGCTTCAGCTTGATACACTGATTTATTTCCTTCTAATCGTATTTTTCTAGTAAAAATTTCGACTCCGTAATAAAAAATAACAAAAGCGCAACCAGTTCCACCTTCATATCCGGAGCCATCAGTGTATATATCAATCATGCTAGTATTCATATAATCTTTATCGTACGGTATACCTTTAAAATATTTTGGATGTAAATTAATAGAATCTTTTCCTGTCAAGGCGTTACCATTTAAAACATCACCATTTTACATGCCAAAATGTTTTTTGAACCATATCTGAGTAAACATTTTTCATAATGAAAGTTATAAAAAATTGAGAGTGGCGGAATACCAGCAAGTAAGCAAATAACTTCTGTAGAAACAGTACGGAAAGCTCTTGTGATTGCAAGCAGCCAGCTCCTTTGCAATGAATTCAGTTTAGTTCTCAATCTAATCAGTTACTCTGCCCGGTAGCAACACATGCCAATACCATATAAAATCTTTGGCCTAATAACATTTAAATAAATATCTCTAAGGGTGGTGCTGTACGTGTGCCTGTATCTAAATATACCGTACATTACAATAGATTCCAACTATACAAATTGACTGTTCTTTTTTCAGGAATATTAAGCAAAACTTTGTTACGATAATATGTGCTTTAATATTTACATTGCTTCAAAGAACGTTTCATTGCTTCAAATGGTAAAAATTATAAATTTCTGAATTTAAAAAATGTATATTATACATATGTGTAATCTATCTATCTGTTTATCTATCTATCTATTTATCTCTCTCTATATTTTTAACTAGTTTGGTATTATATATCAATATAATAATAAGCAAATTCGTTAAGAGAAATAAGGAATCTATTTTTTAGCCAAATAAAAATAATTCTTTCCTATTTTTCTTTTAAATGTTATTACTTCCATGAATTATTACGAGAAAATTTATTTATAGGACTTACCTAAATTATTTGAAGAAATTAAGCATAAACAACTTTCGCATATCTATTACCACTCAATGCAAAATAAAATGAAAGGTAAATGAAATTTCCTACGCACGTTTAACAAATGGCATGAAAAGTCCTGACGAAAATAAATTATATATCAGAAAGAGGTTAAAATATACCATGTGAGAAAATTAAATGCAATAAAACTAATTTTAAACATATTTATTTCTCTACAGCTGCATTACATAAGAAATACAAAGAAGGCATTTCACAGTTTCAGTTACTACACTAAAGCTTGAATCGACTGACCAACCAGATTAGATGTGGATCCTAGAGAATTAAAGTCAATCTCCCCGATATCCGCATAGTTTAGAACATGTACAAGAGCGGATACAATTTCCAATAGAACTTGCACGAGAACTTCACAGCCAGATAAATCTGCTGAAGAAGCACGAACTTGAGAAGACAAATCAGAAATAATTGAAGGTAAAGCATATGTATTTACATATCCACCATCAGTTAAAGCTGATGCAGCAGAAGATATTCGCGAAGACGAAGAAGCAGACGACAAGCGTGACGTAGTGGAATATATTGTAGAAACATCGACACCACTGGCAGCACTAGAGCTAGCGAATGCGGCGCCTCCCGCAGCACCTTGATCGTAGCCTCCAGCTCTTCCAGCAACAGCTGCCCCAGCACCAGCTCCTTGACCATATCCTTGTTGGCTTTGTCCAGAACCTCCACGTCCTCCAGCACCAGCTCCCGCTGCTGCTGCAGCACCAACTCCGGCACCTTGACCATATCCTCTCAGTCCTTGGTCATAGCCTCCAGCTCCCGCTGCACTGGCTGCTGCGGCTGCTCCTGCTCCTGCACCACGTCCGGCTCCGTAATCTTGTCCCCGTGCTCCACCAGCTCCTGCTGCTGCAGCTGCAGCTGCGCCGGCACCTGCACCTTGTCCATATCCTTGTTGGTCTCTGCCGCCAAGACCTGAAGCACTAGCTGCTACTGCTGCTCCAGCACCTGCACCTTGATCGTAGCCTCGACCTCTTCCAGCACCAGCTGCAGCAGCTGCCCCAGCACCGGCTCCTTGACCATATCCTTGTTGGTCTTGTCCAAAACCTCCACGTCCTCCAGCACCAGCTCCGGCACCTTGACCATATCCTCTCTGTCCTTGGTCATAGCCTCCAGCTCCCGCTGCACTGGCTGCTGCTCCTGCACCACGTCCGGCTCCGTAATCTTGTCCCCGTGCTCCACCAGCTCCTGCTACAGCAGCGGCAGCTGCCCCGGCACCTGCACCTTGTCCATATAATTGTTGGTCTCTGCCGCCAAGACCTGAAGCACTAGCTGCTGCTGCTGCTGCTCCAGCACCTGCACCTTGATCGTAGCCTCGACCTCTTCCAGCACCAGCTGCAGCAGCTGCTCCAGCACCGGCTCCTTGACCATAACCTTGTTGGCCTTGTCCAAAACCTGCACGTCCTCCAGCACTAGCTGCAGCAGCTGCTCCAGCACCAGCTCCGGCACCTTGACCATATCCTCTCAGTCCTTGGTCATAACCTCCAGCTCCCGCTGCACTGGCTGCTGCAGCTGCTCCTGCTCCTGCACCACGTCCGGCTCCGTAATCTTGTCCCCGTGCTCCACCAGCTCCTGCTGCTGCAGCTGCGCCGGCACCTGCACCTTGTCCATATCCTTGTTGGTCTCTGCCGCCAAGACCTGAAGCACTAGCTGCTACTGCTGCTCCAGCACCTGCACCTTGATAGTAGCCTCGACCTCTTCCAGCACCAGCTGCAGCAGCTGCCCCAGCACCGGCTCCTTGACCATATCCTTGTTGGCCTTGTTCATAACCTCCAAGTCCTCCAGCACTATCTGCAGCAGCCGCTCCAGCACCAGCTCCGGCACCTTGACCATATCCTCTCAGTCCTTGGTCATAACCTCCAGCTCCCGCTGCACTGGCTGCTGCGGCTGATCCTGCTCCTGCACCACGTCCGGCTCCGTAATCTTGTCCCCGTGCTCCACCAGCTCCTGCTGCTGCAGCGGCAGCTGTCCCGGCACCTGCACCTTGTCCATATCCTTGTTGGTCTCTGCCGCCAAGACCTGAAGCACTAGCTGCTGCGGCTGCTCCAGCACCTACACCTTGATCGTAGCCTCGACCTCCTCCAGCACCAGCTGCAGCAGCTGCCCCAGCACCGGCTCCTTGACCATATCCTTGTTGTCCTTGTCCATAACCTCCAAGTCCTCCGGCACTAGCTGCAGCAGCTGCTCCAGCACCAGCTCCGGCACCTTGACCATATCCTCTCAGTCCTTGGTCATAGACTCCAGCTCCCGCTGCACTGCCTGCTGCGGCTGCTCCTGCTCCTGCACCACGTCCGGCTCGGTAATCTTGTCCCCGTGCTTCACCAGCTCCTGCTACTGCAGCGGAAGCTGCCCCGGCACCTGCACCTGTACCTTGTCCATATCCTTGTTGGTCTCTGCCGCCAAGACCTGAAGCACTAGCCGCTGCTGCTGCTCCAGCACCTGCACCTTGATCGTAGCCTCGACCTCTTCCAGCACCAGCTGCCCCAGCACCGGCTCCTTGACCATATCCTTGTTGGCCTTGTCCATAACCTCCAAGTCCTCCAGCACTAGCTGCAGCAGCTGCTCCAGCACCAGCTCCGGCACCTTGACCATATCCTCTCAGTCCTTGGTCATAGACTCCAGCTCCCGCTGCACTGCCTGCTGCGGCTGCTCCTGCTCCTGCACCACGTCCGGCTCGGTAATCTTGTCCCCGTGCTCCACCAGCTCCTGCTGCTGCAGCGGAAGCTGCCCCGGCACCTGCACCTGTACCTTGTCCATATCCTTGTTGGTCTCTGCCGCCAAGACCTGAAGCACTAGCCGCTGCTGCTGCTCCAGCACCTGCACCTTGATCGTAGCCTCGACCTCTTCCAGCACCAGCTGCAGCAGCTGCCCCAGCACCGGCTCCTTGACCATATCCTTGTTGGCCTTGTCCAAAACCTCCACGCCCTCCAGCACTAGCTGCAGCAGCTGCTCCAGCACTAGCTCCGGCACCTTGACCATATCCTCTCAGTCCTTGGTCATAGCCTCCAGCTCCCGCTGCACTGGCTGCTGCGGCTGCCCCTGCTCCTGCACCACGTCCGGCCCCGTAATCTTGTCCCCGTGCTCCACCAGCTCCTGCTGCTGCAGCGGCAGCTGCCCCACCACCTGCACCTTGTCCATATCCTTGTTGGTCTCTGCCGCCAAGACCTGAAGCAATAGCTGCTGCTGCTGCTCCAGCACCTGCACCTTGATCGTAGCCTCGACCTCTTCCAGCACCAGCTGCAGCAGCTGCCCCAGCACCGGCTCCTTGACCATATCCTTGTTGGCCTTCTCCAAAACCTCCACGTCCTCCAGATCCAGCTGCAGCAGCTGCTCCAGCACCTGCTCCGGCACCTTGACCGTATCCTCTCAAGCCTTGATCATAGCCACCAGCTCCTGCAGCACTGGCTGCTGCGGCTGCTCCTGCGCCTTGTCCGGCTCCGTAACCTGGTCCACTAGCACCACCAGCTCCTGCTGCTGCCCCGGCACCTGCACCTTGTCCATATCCTTGTTGGTCTCTGCCGCCAAGACCTGACGTACTAGCTGCTGCTGCTGCTCCAGCACCTGCACCTTGATCGTAGCCTCGACCTCTTCCAGCACCAGCTGCAGCAGCTGCCCCAGCACCGGCTCCTTGACCATATCCTTGTTGGCCTTGTCCAAAACCTCCACGTCCTCCAGCACTAGCTGCAGCAGCTGCTCCAGCACCAGCTCCGCCACCTTGGCCATATCCTCTCAGGCCTTGGTCATAGCCTCCAGCTCCCGCTGCACTGCTTGCTGCGGCTGCTCCTGCTCCTGCACCACGTCCGGCTCCGTAATCTTGTCCCCGTGCTCCACCAGCTCCTGCTGCTGCAGCGGCAGCTGCCCCGCCACCTGCACCTTGTCCATATCCTTGTTGGTCTCTGCCGCCAAGACCTGAAGCACTAGCTGCTGCTACTGCTCCAGCACCTGCACCTTGATCGTAGCCTCGACCTCTTCCAGCACCAGCTGCAGCAGCTGCCCCAGCGCCGGCTCCTTGACCATATCCTTGTTGGCCTTGTCCAAAACCTCCACGTCCTCCAGATCCAGCTGCAGCAGCTGCTCCAGCACCAGCTCCCGCACCTTGGCCATATCCTCTCAGGCCTTGGTCATAGCCTCCAGCTCCCGCTGCACTGGCTGCTGCGGCTGCTCCTGCTCCTGCACCACGTCCGGCTCCGTAATCTTGTCCCCGTGCTCCACCAGCTCCTGCTGCTGCAGCGGCATCTGCCCCGCCACCTGCACCTTGTTCATATCCTTGTTGGTCTCTGCCGCCAAGACCTAAAGCACTAGCTGCTGCTGCTGCTCCAGCACCTGCACCTTGATCGTAGCCTCGACCTCTTCCAGCACCAGCTGCAGCAGCTGCCCCAGCACCGGCTCCTTGACCATATCCTTGTTGGCCTTGTCCAAAACCTCCACGTCCTCCAGCACTAGCTGCAGCAGCTGCTCCAGCACCAGTTCCGCCACCTTGGCCATATCCTCTCAGGCCTTGGTCATAGCCTCCAGCTCCCGCTGCACTGGCTGCTGCGGCTGCTCCTGCCCCTGCACCACGTCCGGCTCCGTAATCTTGTCCCCGTGCTCCACCAGCTCCTGCTGCTGCAGTGGCTGCTACCGAGGCACCTGGACCTTGTCCATATTCTTGCTGGCCTCTGCCGAGACCGCCAAGTCCTGCAGCACTAGCTGCTGCGGCTGCTCCTGCACCAGCTACGGCACCTTGACCGTATCCTCTCAGGCCCTGATCATAGCCTCCAGCTCCTGCAGCACTGGCTGCTGCGCCTTGTCCGGCTCCGTAACCTGGTCCCGTAGCACCACCAGCTCCAGCGGCTGCTGCTCCAGCTCCTGCACCTTGACCGTATCCTTGTTGGTCTCTGCCGCCAAGACCGCCAGCACCCCCTGCTGCGGCTGCTCCAACACCTGCACCTTGATCGTAGCCTCGACCTCTTCCAGCACCAGCTGCAGCAGCTGCCCCAGCACCGGCGCCTTGACCATATCCTTGTTGGCCTTGTCCAAAACCCCCACGTCCTCCAGCACCAGCTGCAGCAGCTGCTCCAGCGCCAGCCCCGGCACCTTGACCGTATCCTCTCAGGCCTTGATCATAGCCTACAGCTCCTGCAGCAGTGGCTGCTGCGGCTGCTCCTGTACCTTGTCCGACTCCGTAACCTGGTCCCCTAGGACCACCAACTCCTGTTGCTGCAGAAGCAGCTGCCCCAGCACCTGCGCCTTGACCATATCCTTGCTGATCTTGACCATAGCCTCCTGCTGTTGCAGCAGCTGCTGAAGCTTGAGCTGCACTTGATCTCGTGATGTATTCTTCGGTTTGTGTAGTATGTAGTTTGGGTTGATATGTCTCCTGTTTCTGTTGCAGTTGTACTTGCTGCAGATGCTCCAGTAATTGGACCTTGACCGTAACCTCTCCCGGACAAACCTGCGGCTGTAGCTGTTGCGGATACTGCGCTGGGACCGTAACTTTGTCCTGTACCTAATCCTCCTGACGAGGCTGCTGCTCCTGCGGATGATTCGGCTATTTCATTTATGCTGGCTTGAGCAAACATAGTTATTAACTCACCCATCTCTCTCAGGAATACCTGATCTACTGTTCCTGTTGTTTGCATGAAAGCATCAGCTAATGCATCCATTATTGCATTGGTTTTAACACCCAGTGGTTGGCCTCCATCTGATGAGACGGCTATTTCAGCAACGGACGATGCGAAAGCCATATTTAGAGCTTGGAGTTTCGATTTGGAACTTTTTTTGGATCTAGCCATTCTGTCCATTGCGTCCATAATTGTGTCACTTATGGACGATATGTCATCCATTTGGTCATATGTAAAAGCTCCAGAACGAGCTATGGACTGAGTAAATGATTGCAGAAGGCTTTCAGCAATTGCAGGATTTCCCCATATTGCTTCACCAGCTCCAAAAACCGTAAGAAAATGAGCGCAAGAAACTGCGACGAAAAACGCTATTCGAGTTGACCACTGCATAATTGAATATCGCTTGCAGGTCTTCGAATGTGTGCTGTGAGGAGCAAAAGAATGCCCTTTTATACTCTAAAAAATCGGTTTGCTCGTGGAAATTCGTGACCCAGTGCAGCTAGTTCAACAATTTCGTCATGTACGTTTTTGCAACTTCTCTGCGTCAGAAGCGACGTAACTTAAGTATGATTCATATCCACCTGCTTTTCGTGCGTGAGGAAAGTAACTTCTCTTCCAGATAAACAAAGTAGGTGAGGTCCCAATTTTCAAATATCTATCGCTTAATTTCGTATTTTACTGAAATGTAGAACTTCCTAAAAACTAATATCTATATAGTGTTTACAAATATATATGTTCTTCTGAATTCAGGCAGAATTTAAAATGCATTTTCAACACATGCTTTTGAAACACTATATTAAATGCAAATTTGCTTTGGATCAAATAAAAATTTTCTCAACATTATGCAACATAGTTACATGTAAAACTGCACTTGTTAACCTAAAAATAGTGAAAAGAGAAACGTATAATTTAGCAATAAGTAAGAACGTTTTACTGTTTACAATTATTTTCCGGACTATTATTCGAACGCAATATACGTTTCGTGACTAGCTATAATACAAGATGATTTCCAGACTTAATTTTATAAATAGTTTAGGTAAGGAGGGCTTCATATTATGAAAACGTTAATAATATTGCGTTAATTTTCAATTTGATGTATGTCTAAATAACTGATTTGAAATTAAAAAAAATGGATAAAAACACTTTTCAGTGAAAGTCGAGCGAATTGTTTGTAGTAATACTAGCTGGGTATTTAATATTCCTATTTAGATATCTCAGATTTAAATGTACTTTTATTTAAATCAAACAGATTGAAAGCTAGGAAATATAATCGTATGTACTGCACTTAATTGCTTTTAAATCACTTGGTTTGGTAATCAGTAAAAGACAGATAAAATTTAGGCGTTAAGGATATTACATTCTGTGGAATGATAGCACGTTGGCGAGGAGAAGATAAATGTATTTAATTTTACGCAGTGGAAACACATTGCGTTTTGCCAAATGGCAATGTTATGTCACATATGCGATAGAAAGGTTTCATTTCGAATATCGAAATTAAAATTTATAGCTTCGAGATACACATGTACAGGTGGAGGACAATGCCTGTTCAAAATTGGGCACCCTGATTTTCCACAGTGTGAGAAATATACATACCTACATGCAGATTCTTTGTTATTTAATTATAGAAAAGTAAGTTTATGTTCATGTGAAACTATTTTTGTATTTCACATAATTGCTGATTAATTGTTCACAGGCGAATCTGGATTTAATAAACCTCAGGTTGTAAGGATCCTAAGTTTTACTAACGTTTATTTTATTTTAAATCTTTACTATCACTTCTTATTTTTTACTTCCGGCCAGAATTAAAAGTTTTAACTTATTTATGCAAATTTGTCTTGCGAACGCCAAGTACTTAAGTTGTGGCTTTTTGCCAAGCAAGAGAGAGGAAGGAGCTATTAGAAGCAGGCCGCTTGCCATAGCAGTTTTACTCGGTTGCTGGTTGCCTTCAAGGCCAGAGGTTTAATCCTCTTGATAACTTTAAACGTATCGTAGTTTTAGCAGTTCTCTGTACTACATACGGCTTCTTGTTAATTTACGGACCAATCTTGGAGTTAGGCACTTGTTTGATTAATCCAAAGTTAGTTTAGTTAGAGTTTAGTTAATATTTTTATATTCTTACGTTCAGACCACAAGTGGTTGGTCTCTGTATCCCGAAGTCCGGAAATCATTGTAAAGAGAGAAAAATAAAGGGTTTCGTATACCCTTCTTGTGTGTATTGTCTACTTCCCAAATTTATTGAACACAGCTTTAGTAAGCTCCCTGTTCCGAGTCAGGATAGTAAATGTTTCCGAAGCAAGTACGGAGGAACACTGAACCTGACAAGGTGATAATCTTTTTAATGAAAAAAAAAATATTAAATGGAGAATAAAGATATGCAAGTACTCAGCTGTGTTATTAAGTAAGGCTATTTTACAGTGGCTAACATTTCTTTTCGGAAACTTGTACTCATTAGTTTTATTTGCAAATATCAGTTACTAAATACTAACGAAATGACTTTCAGGTATACAATTCAATACAATTTTTGAAACCAACTCTTTATTGAGAAAGTTATTCGACCCCTCCCCGTTTTTAATGGTTAGTCAAAAAGTTCTGAAAATGAACTTTCGCAAATATTCGTACATTTTAAAAAAAGACTTTATATTTAATAAAAATTTGAAACTTTATCAGATACCATTAGATGAAATTACACTCTTGGTTATTTAAATTAAAATTGCTATTAAAATTTGGGTTTCGCCTCGCAACTGTTCGCTCATCGGACCGAAATGTATTAAATTATGACATTTTCAAATGTAATTAAAATATTTCAGTATGGTAAATCTTTGTTTATCATGGATTTTGCGAGCGTAAGGCGTGCTTTCATTGTTTTCTTAGTGATGAAGTATTTTCTTCTTGCTCATCGCTCACTGTATCTATGTGTTCTAATGACTCTTCTTTTATTCTTTGGCATGTTAATTACTGTAACATTTTTCTTCCCCTCACGCATAGAGATTTCACCAACACCAAACATCCTTGTTGTAGCAAGATTTCCATTTTCTTTCGCAAAATGAATGACTTTGAATTTGAAATCAGCCCTCTGTTTGCTTATTTTCATGGGAGCCATATTTACTACTAAAAGAACACTATATAAACTGCATTTCAGCTAAAGTAAATGAGATTTACTGAAGCCTTTGATTTTTATTTCAAAATCGCGACATAGAAAGAGAAATCATCTAACTCCTAATTCCACTATTTCATTCAGGTTGGAAGTGCATTCTTACTCCAAATTATATCCCTGTTTTCTCGAAACCCTGCAATAGCATTCTTTCGGACAGCTGCATTGAATGCAATCCTTCCTCCTTGCAGTAATTTTACTCTCTCAAGCATATAACCCACATATACACTGTTCCCCTTATGGCTTGTCAATTCAGTATACCATTGTTCGAAAGGCTAGGACAAATTTTCGAATAACTGACCTCAAAAGATAACAGCATTGCACATGTACCATTTAAGTTTCTTCGTGAAGAATTGGGTACACGTTATACAACGAATATACTTAAAAAGTTTTAAAAAATGTAGTTTGAAATTATAGGTTAGCATAATAAACCGGTAATCACCAACTGAAACGGGTACATCCCCCAGACCACCTAGCCGAAACTACATTCAGCCTAAGCCTCAAATGAGCTTGCCCAGCCAACAGCCACAGCGAAACTTAAAATATTTAAAAGGAAACGGAACAAACGTTTACAGATGACTGATGAATATAAACTCATCAGATCTAACATCCACAAAAAAGAACGAAAATAATAAACTGAAACTAAAATTGCAAATTCAATCTTACTGTTATTTATTCCCCTAATAAATTTCTCTGCCATTGTCTTTAATTTTGCACCGTTTTTAAAATCAGTTTCCAGGTCGAACTAGTAATTCCACAAAATATTCTTAGTTGCTACGAAGGTCTCGACGAACTAGATATTATTGTCTTTAATTACAAATGTTATAGTTTTTATGTTCTTGAAGTTTAAATCTAAATAAATAAGCCGGGAATTGTCTGTGGCCAGTAAAAATCTGATTTACGTCATACTATTGCATATTCTCAACTTCTGAATTATCTCAATATTTCTCACGTAGCCATTGTTCTTTTCGAATGATTACGCGTGCTTTCCGGGCCGTTTCAACGGAGGTGGCTTGTGTGCTTGCCGGTATATCCCCCTCTCATATCAATATGGCTTTTTCTATAGAACATTTTTAATGAAAAATAAATATATTACATCATTGGAAATCTCTGACACAGAATTAAAAAGTGATGCCTTTGAAGAATGCCTTGAATTGATTCACCCTGCAGATAAATTAGGACTAAATTATGATCGACTAAGCCTTCGTCTGGCTTTTAAATGTACCGGAAAAATGGCTAAAGGGAACACCAAACGTTAAATTTAAAAACTGCATAGAATTTTACTCTGCAGAACAACTTCATAAAAAAAAGTTATTACGTATAACAAAATTACAATGAAATAAGCAATATCTCTTAATACAAATGTTAATTATCCTAATAAATAAATTAACCAACTTCCCTTTTCAAAATCTTAAGAACTCAAATGGTATAAAGGAGGTTAAGAACTTTGTTTCCTAAAAAATCACTCAAAACTTTTCAATATCTTAAAAACAGTGAAATGAGCAATAAATAACATAAAAGAATACAAAAAAAATTCTGAAAAGCAAAGTATAATTAATGATATTTTATCTTATATTTTCAAGAGAAAAAAAATTAGATGCTGCTACTTTGGTAGACAGTTGCACGGATTTTTGGCGATTTACATTGGCGCAATTGTTGGCGCAGTTTTTATAGTCATCAGCCATCGTGAAAAAGGCTGTTTTTACGTATTTTACGCATATAGTATTAGAAACTTTAAAAAAATAAATATCTTTAAAAACAATGAATTAATTTTTTTGTTGAAAACGTTGTTTTTTAAGATGGCTGGCAAATGTAAATAAATACATTTACTAAGAGTATAAAATTCTAAAGTAAGGTTAAATTATTACTTTCATATAATAGAATGAAAACACCGCTATAAAAACATTGCGCCAACATTTAATTGGATTAAAATATTGCTTAAATTGAGTATCGAATTAAAAACATCATACCAACGTTTAAAAGAATTAAAATATTACTTAAATACTTTAAAATAAGTTTTATAGGATTTAATTATTTAACATTAAAACATATGTGGCAATAAATATCTCAGGAATGTGGCAATAAATATCTCAGGAAAACATTGTATTAATTTTTTAATAAAAGTTGAAGTATAGAATTATAAAGTAAAAGAAAATTATGTACTTACATTTTTGCACTTCATTGGAGAAGCAATTAGCGAGGTTTTCTCCAAAAATTTAAAATAAATTTCCTCTGACGCTATTAACAATTTATAAATATCTTTTATTAGG